AAACAAACCGACCCAAACATAGCTAAAACCACCACACTTTCTTACATACACGAAAATTGGCCAAATTGGTGTCACATATACACTGACGGATCTTCAGACCCGATCTCCAACCACACAGGTTTCGGAGTCCATACCACACAACCAGTTATATCCACACAATCTTACCGACTCCCTAACAACCAATCTATATTCACGGCCGAACTTATGGGCATGGCCTCAGCCCTGCATAACCAACAATAAAAAAACAACAATAAAATCCTAATTCTCACTGACTCGCTTAGTGGGCTACAAGCCCTCCAAAACAAAAATACAAAAAAACGACCTAAATTAATAAACCAAATACTTAAAAGCTCCAACGACCTAACAAAAGCAGGCAAACAAATAACCTTCTTGTGGATCCCCGCCCACGTAGGAATTTACGGCAACGAAAGCGCCGATAAAGCAGCTAAATTATCTCTCAAAATACCAGAAATAAGCCTAAACCTACCCATCTCAAAATCAGAAATTAAAAGTGTAAACAAAAAACAAAAAATAACCAAAAAATGGCATAATCAATATCAAAACTCAAATAGCCAAATCCAAAAAGTGCTCAGAAAACCACTAGCCAAACCTAAAATCCTACACCCCTCTAAAAAAATTGACAGATTAATTACAAAACTCCAAACAGGACACACGAACCTAAATAACCACCTAAAACAACTTAAAAGACACACCACAGGCAACTGCCCCCACTGCAAACAACCCGAAACCACAGAACACGCACTCATCCACTGCACCCACTACCAAACACACAGAACCACACTACAAACCAACCTCAATCTAAATAAGGTTCCTACTCTAGATGAACTACTAAACCCTCAAGATAAACTAGAAAACTTCAAGGCCCTAGGCGTATTCCTAATCAAAACAGACCTAATTAAGCGCATCTAAAAACTAGTTAATCTACCAATCCAAAATCCAATAAACATACAAACACCCACCTCACCCGGCTCCCTTAGTTCCCTCCTCCACCCACCTCGGCATTTATTCCAAATTTAAAAATCTCAAAAATTCAATACAAGCAACCCCTAAAACCCACTCTTGGGTTGTACACACCACTTTCACCCTTTTCGGAATACACTAAATGGTCCGGCCAGGCCCGTGTGCGAAATACGCTGCAGTCGGAAAGCGCACGTTAAATCTTCTATATCAGTCAGTAGTTGTCTCAGCACTAGACAATCAGCAATCTAAAAAACAACAAAAAATCCTCATCCTAACCGACTACCTCAGTGGACTACAAGCCCTCAAAAACACTAAAAAAACACCCCAAACTAATAAATCAAATACTCAATAGCTCAAACAACTTAACTAGGGCAGGGAAACAAATAGAGTTCCTTTGGACCCCCGCCCACGTAGGGATCTTTGGGAATGAAAAGGCAGATAAAGCAGCAAAATTATCCCTTTAACTCCCAGAAATAAGCTTAAACTTACCCAGCTCAAAATCAGAAATCAAAGGTCTCACTAAACAAAAAATCAACAAAAAATGGCAAAATATATACCAAAACTTAAATAGCCAAATCAGGAAAGTACTCAAAAAAACACCTAAATAAACCAAAAATACTACACCCATCCAAAACAATCGACAGAATTATTACTAAACTACAAACAGGCGGCACCAAACTAAATAATCACCGTAAAATAGCTAATCTACACAAAACAGGAAACTGCCCACATTGCAAACAACAAGAAACACCAGAACACGTACTCATTCACTGCACACACCACCAAACACACCGAACAACACTACAGACCACCCTAAATCTTAAAACCGAACTTACACTAGAATCAATCCTAAATCCATAAAATAAATTAGAAAAATTCAAAGTCTTAGGTTTATACCTAATTAAAACAGGACTAATAAGTCGCATTTAAACCCCAAATAAAATAATAAAACCAAAACTACCTTATCTAACAACCACCCAACACACAGCTCCCTTAGTTCGTCCCCCACCCACTCTTGGCATTCTTTCCAAATCTCAAAATTTCAAAATTACTGTATAAGCAACCCCTAAAGCCCCTAATTCATAGTCTTTTTATTGTTCAAATTACTGATAAAACATATTTTAACTTGTTCCTTCTAACCATATTTCCAAACATTTCCAAACATTTCCAAACAATTCCAAACCATTCCAAGTCATTCCAAACATTTCCAGTGTTGGAAATATGTTTGGAAATGTTGCCATTCCAATTTTGGATTTTTTGGAAAGATCGATCTTTCCAAGCTTTGGAAAGTTTGGAATGAGCGATCTTTCCAAAGCATTCCAACGTTCATTCCAAATTGGAATGGACGCTATTTGGTCTTGTGATGTAACACCAGAATTCCAGCCTAGTTTGGCAAGGGTGGAAACAGGACTTCTATAGCCAGTTACCTCCATGGCCTCGGGAAGATGGAGATCAAGGTACACTGCAAATTGTGGCACCGTCACACCCTGGACAGGCTTGTAAATTTTGGTGCAAAAACAAGAAAAATCCATCACAATCTTTCTGGGTATTTATTTTTTTTATCAATAACATTACAGAAAATAAATTGTTTGATTGTTTTAAACTTGTATTTAAAACTTATATCTGTACAATATGATGTTCATATAAATTTGTACAAAAGGGATGTAAAATGGACTATCCTCCAAGAAGGAAACATTGAAGCATGTAGAAACACAATACAGGACAACGATATGTACATATGATATGTCGCTTTCTCCACGCGTATCAATGACAAGGATATGTACATAATGATATGTCATTTTCCTCCACGCGTATCAATGACAATGATATTCACACATGATTGTACACAAGCTCAGCACGACAACACTGATATATTTACAACAGTTGCCAGTAACAACAAGATTATTCACACAGATAAAACATAGCCTAGGGTTGCGCTTGAAAATCTATTATTTAGTACTTAAGTTTAAGCTGACAAGCGGGCATCAAGGTATATGTCTCCAGATGCTGCAACATTCGTAAACACAAAATAAGAACACCGTCACTGATGATTATCATTTCCTGAAGTCAGATCAACATTTCTAACATTTAATATCATAAACAGCAAATAAACATTTTGTGACATCAGGTTAAGAATACAAACTAGTGTGGTGAGTAGGAATATGTTGGATAATTGGTTTCTTGTTTAAAAAGAAAACTAATAACAATAAGCATCATTTTAGATTTTGATGAAAACACTTCATCCTGTGTATCTGTATATCGCCTAACACCCTACCCACCACTAACACCCTTTCCAACTAACAACCCTCCCCCACCAACACCCCTTTCCAGCTAACACCCGCCCCTACCCTAACAACCTTTCCAACTAACACCCCTCCCCCACCAACACCCCTTCCCTGCTAACACACACCCCTCCACTAACAACCTTTCCAACTAACACCCCTCCCCCACCAACAACCCTTCCCTGCTAACACACACCCCACCACTAACACCCTTTCCAGCTAACACCCCTCCCCCACCAACACCCCTTCCCTGCTAACACACCCCTCCCCCACCAACACCCCCTCCCTGCTAACACCCCCCCCCCCCCACCACCACCACCACCACCACCACCACTAACACCCTTTCCAGCTAACACCTCTCCCCACCAACACCCCTTCCCTGCTAACACACTCCCCACCACTAACACCCTTTCCAGCTAACACACTCCCCACCACTAACACCCTTTCCTGCTAACACCCTCCCCTCCACTTACACTCTTTCCAGCTAACACACTCCCCACCACTAACACCCTTTCCAGCTAACACCCCTCCCCACCAACACCCCTTCACTGCTAACACCCTCCCCTCCACTTACACTCTTTCCAGCTAACACCCTCCCCTCCACTTACACTCTTTCCAGCTAACACCCCTTCCCTGCTAACACCCTCCCCTCCACTAACAGCCTCCTCTACAAACATTACCTCCCTCATTACCTAACCTGAATATTACATAAATAGTGATCAATTTACAACATTTCAGAGATTTGAATTGAACTCTGAACAGGTATGTCCTACAAGTATCAATTCCAGCACTTCTAATGTGCTCAGGGAGGATAAATCATGTTGTTGATCATCTTAACTTATAAAATGTGAGTCTGTTCCATACTTGGTCCCCATTATACATATCTACAAGATCTTGCTGACATACACATACAGCAATCACTGCACTCCAAGGCACGGACATCATGCAATGATTGTCAACCTTAAACAACATTCATTTCAATGTGTGACACACATGTCTCCAGGCCAATGAAAATATTATACATGTTCTACCAATATCACAGGAAGGAAATATAACTCGTATTGCATCAACATTTTTATTATTGTTGTTACTGTAAGAATCTAGTATCCAATAAAACATCCACCTCAGGTACAACAACGTCATACTGACAAGCAAATTTTTTACTCCTTGGGGAAATGTTGGCAAGTATTTCAAGAAGTCCTCAGATTTTATGGCCAAGTGAGTATACTCTGGGATGAGTGAGTGAGTGAGTGTTACATTTATTGCTGCTTTGAACAGTTTTCAGTTATATCGAGTCGTGTTAGGAAGGTGATGGAGGTACATCAGGGATAGAATTTACAAGAACATCTACAAGCCCGATTTAATATTAATAAAACTGGTCCCGGCTAGCGGGCTACTGCTAAGTGCCATCCCCATACAGTGGTATGAATAAATGACATTGCGTAGTTCACAATCAACAAAGTATATTCTCTATCACAGTCAACCAACTTTAATTGGCCTTGAGTTTGACCCAGGAAGAGAGGTGTGACGTGATTGCGAAGAGCCAGCATCCCTGTACACGACAGCAGTCAGTGCCACGACGGAGCACGTGTAGAGGGGCCTTGTGATGATAACTGAAGCCTCCCCACACCATGACGTGATAGGGGTCGAAATGGACCCACAAATGGACAAGAACGAGTACCAAGCAGTCATCAAGTTTTTAACTTTAGAGAAAAGTACCCTCCAAACAATTCATGACCGCATGTAACAAGTGTATGGGTTTAGTGCCCCAGCTATTCCTCACAACATGTAAACAGTGAGTGTTCCATACAAATACTCGACAGATTGAAATAAAATAGTCACAGTGTCACACCCTAAAGGGGTCAGTAGAGTAGACAGTAGACGTAGCTGAGGCAAAGAAGTGTCCTATAAACACAACCCACAACTCTCTCCAAACGCAGGAGATATCTTTGTTGATATGAAATGAACTAACATTGAAGGCCTTTGTATTTCGGTGAGACTGTAGATGTCACGTGACGTCAACCAGGAAGCAAGACCGAGTTGTGTTGTCTCGAGGTGTTACACATACAGGTAAAGAAATCTGACGTACATTTACATCAACGATTGTGTGTTAATGAAGTGTTTGATGAACATTTACATACTTATGTTCACCTAGTTGCAGCTCATTAAGTCCACAGGTCACTTAAGCCAGGTGGAACTGATGAACGCTGGTGTTTATAAATCGAAACGTGAAGTCCTAATGCCTGTCCATGGTTATCTCATGTAGGCGGAGTCCTACACCTTTTCAAAATTCATTATGGAATGGCACTCTCCCTATTTGTTGGGTGACACCTTAGTGTGTGGAGTGACTGACATCTAAGTGTGGGTGGAGTGAGTGGGTGACACCTTAGTGTGGATCGACTGAGTGAGTGGTATTTTAGTGTTGGAGGAGTGAGTGAGTGACATCTTAGTGAGGGTGGAGTGAGTGAGTGACATCTTAGTGTTGGTGGAGTGAGTGAGTAACACCTTAGTGTTGGTGGAGTGAGTGAGTAACACCTTAGTGTGTGTGGAGTGAGGGAGTGACATCTTAGTGTTGGTGGAGTGAGTGAGTGACAACTTAGTGTGTGTGGAGTGAGTGAGTAACAACTTAGTATTGGTGGAGTGAGTGACATCTTAGTGTGTGTGGAGTGCGTGAGTGACATCTTAGTGTTGGTGGAGTGAGTGAGTGAGTGACATCTTAGTGTGTGTGGAGTGAATGATATCTTAGGATGGATCGAGTGAGTAACATCTTAGTGTTGGTGGAGTGAGTGAGTGACATCTTAGTGTGTGTGGAGTGAGTGATATCTTAGTGTGTGTGGAGTGAGTGAGTGACACCTTAGTGTGTGTGGAGTGAGTGAGTTACACCTTAGTGTTGGTGGAGTGAGTAACATATTAGTGTGTGTGGAGTGAGTGAGTGACACCTTAGTGTTGGCGGAGTGAGTGACATCTTAGTGTGGGTGGAGTGAGTGAGTGACACCTTAGTGAGGGTGGACTGAGTGAGTGAGATCTTAGTGTTGGTGGAGTGAGTGAGTAACACCTTAGTGTTGGTGGAGTGAGTGAGTAACACCTTAGTGTGTGTGGAGTGAGTAACACCTTAGTGTTGTTGGAGTGAGTGTGTGACATCTTAGTCTGTGTGGAGTGAGTGCGTGACATCTTAGTGTTGGTGGAGTGAGTGCGTGACATCGTAGTGTTGGTGGAGTGAGTGAGTGACATCTTAGTGTTAGTGGAGTGAGTGCGTGATATCTTTGTGTTGATGGTGTGAGTGAGTGACATCTTAGTGTTGGTGGAGTGAATGAGTGACATCTTAGTGTGTGTGGAGTGAGTGAGTGATATGTTAGTGTGGATGGAGTGAGTGAGTGACACCATAGTGTTTGTGGTGTGAGTGAACGACATCTTAGCGTGTGTGAAGTAAGTGACATCTTAGTGTGTGTGGATTGAGTAAATGATATCTTTGTGTTGGTGGAGTGAATCAGTGACATCTTAGTGTGTGTGGAGTAAGTGACATCTTAGTGTTGGTGGAGTGATCGAGTGACACCTTAGTGTTGGTGGAGTGCGTGACATCTTAGTGTTGGTGGAGTGAGTGCGTGACATCTTTGTGTTGGTGGAGTGAATGCGTGACATCTTATTGTGGGATTAGAAGCCCAATGTGGAGTGGTTTCTGTGTTGGTGAAATGTAAGTGTATGGTGCTGTCAAACTAAGGATCGTGATCAAGACGAATCCGGGATCAGAGCCTGCGATCACCACATCCTGGTCCATATTGCAACTACAGTATCAAGGTTTGGAGAAAACGAAAACATTTTTAGTTAAATTCATAAAAAATTAAGTCTTCCTCAGAGGGAATACAGAGTGTTTTCATTTCGTTTGTTCAGGCACATCATGACAACAGATGTTGACAATTGGCAAAGTGGAAAGTCCTTGGCGGAAACCAACCTGCACATGTTGGACAGTTTGTTGTTGGCTGATGTGACCTTCCTTGTTGGAGATCAAAGGGAGACAATCCAGGCTCACAAATTCATTTTAGTCAGCCGTAGCTGCGTGTTTCATACGATGTTCTGTGGATCAATCCCCGAGACGGGCCAAATGCTGATTCCTGATATTCAGGCAGACAACTTCAAGACCTTTCTAAGGTTAGTTGAGATGTTTTATTGGTATATTTCGAACTATCTGGCAGAAGGATAACAGAAGATAACAGAAGGTACAAAGAGAACAAGTTGTTGACATAGCACAATCTCCAGCACCCACAATATGACACGACAACATATCACCATATCTAGAGCTGTTTTGTAAGCATCTAAAACAAAAGACAAAACGATTTACAAAACCCTAATTAATCTCAACTGAAAGCAGTCCCTTGTAGAATACCGACTACATCGTGATGGTTTCTCGAGTTTTTAATGTTTACTCACATGGTGTAATTACACCAGCATGCAATAATTTCTGATTTGTGAAATGTTTACCTGCTAGAAATTACATCACTCAGTCGTTTCTGAAATATCTCATGTTTGCCTACTTGGTATGTTTACACTGATATTCCATAGTTTCTGTTTAACAAAACGTAACATCACGATTATTTATCATCCAAAACTGGTTCCCACAGGAAATATCGCTTGGGTAAGATCAAGCGATATCTACACTGTAGATATCTAACAAGCGATATCTACACTGTAGATATCGCTGCAATGAAATTGCATCACAATGCTTTGCAGACCATTGTGATGTCATTGGTTACCATGACGTCGCAATCAAATGACATCACAAATGGCTCTGGTACTGAAGCTGTTAGCAGTACTTGTAACACTAAAGACATTGCTTATTACTCTCTACAAACTGAAAAAGTTGGAAGAATGATGTTGGATGATCAATAAAATCTCACCCTTGTGTCTTTTGATATCAAATATATCAACACTCGCTGATAAAAGTGGAAAAAATCCTCGGCAAGCCTCGGAGTTTTCCCACTTTTATCAAGTCGTGTTGATATATTTGATATCAAAAGACACCCTGGTGACATTCTCTATTTATCACCCAAAACTGATTTCCATGAGAGATATCTGTATGTGAGATCAATGAAATTGTAACACTGCTTTGCGGCCAGTGTGATGTCATCGGTTACCATGACATCACAATCAAATGACATCACTAATCCCACTGCCACTGAAACTGTGGCTGTATTAGTTACATCCACGACACTTAGTGTTACTATTCAGAAAATTAAGCTAAATAATGATTTTTGATGATTAATAGAATCCCACCCTTGTGTCTCAGCAAGCCTGAGTTGATACATTTGATATCCAAACACACCCGGGTGAGACTATATATAACATTAACATTTCATCACCAGGTTTCTCTACACGGGGAAGGTCGCATTAACTCCTAACACCGTCCTTGGTCTGATGTACGCTGCTAGAAAATACAATATCACAAGACTGGACAAGCAGTGTGAGAGGTTCTGCTTAAAATCTCTGTCGCCTAGCAACGCATGTCTATACCTTCAACAAGCAGAACTGTTTGATAAAGAAGACCTGAAAGAAAGAGCTCTTGAATTCATTAAATCCAGAGCCGAGGTGAGTGTTGCTAGCGAGGGATTCTGCGAGCTAAGCAAGGATTGTCTAAAGCTGATCCTGAAGGCAGATGACATGATAGTTGACGAAATTTGCATCTTCCGATCTGTGATGTCGTGGGCAGAAGCTGAATGTAAACGTCAAGGAAGGGAGGTAACTCCAGATGAGAAAAGAGAAGTGTTGGGAGACTGTTTGTTTCTCATTCGTTTTCCATTTATTTCAATGATGGAATTTTCCACAACTGTCTGCAATGAAGGTATTTTAAGTGATGCCCATGTCATAATGTTCTTACGAAAATACTCTATCAGCCATCTGGATATACGGCCGTTCTGTGACATATCTCGGAAATCTCCAGTCTATAACTTGTCTCGCTTACCTCCTGACCAAGAGTACCACGAGACTCGTAACTGTGGTATATATCGACGTGATGCGTTGTATATATCCTGTGATGCCAGTGTTCACCTGACCGGACTGAGCATGTACCCTGGGAAGCTGGCGGACAAGGTGTCTGTAGACATAGTTGTTGCTGACAGTGATGACACAACCCTGCTGCAGTACCACCAGGACGTGGATGTGACAGAGGGACAACTCTCAGATGTGGTGACGTTCCCTTCACCTCTGACTGTTAGCAAAGGAAAGAAGATAAAAATCAAAGTCACCAGGCGCAGTTCATTTTATGTTTATACGTGTAATGTTTTATGTGTAATGAACAATCAGCGAGTAATGAGGCATGAAGCATCTGGTGTTGTGTGGACACTGGGGCACTGTGAGGGAAGTAATTCTAAAAACAGCCTAGCCTATGGATTCCTTACTGGGATTTTCTACGAATGGTAGTGTGTTTACCTTTTACCCTGATCCGTATTAATAAATTCAGATGACCCAGAGACAACTCTCCTTCCAACTCCTCCATCTCTGTACGACAGTGGGGCGGTGGGGAAGCCAAGTGGTTAATGCGTTCGCTCGTCACGCCGAAGACCCGGGTCCGATTCCTCACATGGGCACAATGTGTGAAGCCATGGTAAATTCTGATGTGCCCCTCCGCTACATTGCTAAAAACGGAGTAAAACGATACTCACTCACTGTACGACAGTAATGTATTCAGGAAATGCCGCATTTGAAGAATAGACATATTTGATGTTTGATGATTAGTTCTTTTTAACATGTGGCACCTTGACGACTATTATAAGAAGTTCCGAGGCTACATTACGACCGTACCAACTAGAAGAAACAACACGTTGCTAAGATCTTTACATTCTGTGTATAAAGTCTTATCATTTTTACGTTTGTGACCGTGTTGTCCCAAGGATATATTTTGCAACCAACTTTCTATCAATGCAGAAAATTAATCAACAAAGACAGTGTCGTTTGAGACCCAAGATATACTTGAATTTTGGAACTTTTTGACAGCCAACTGTGACGTCATAGTTTCAGCGTCATAGTGAGTGGTAGGCTTGATGATGATTTTATGGGTGCCCACGTCACGTTCTCTTCCT